AATGATTAGTCCCTCATCCCAACCATGTTCCATTGGTTCTGTGGTAGCCTGCTGTACTGTAACTATCACCTTGGAGATACATAGCACCTTTAATGTGGTAAAATATCTGAAGGTCCTCAGTGGAAGTCAAACCCAATTTAATACAAAGGAGCAGGTTTTGGAGCATGGGTAATTCAAACCTTGGTCAAGGCAGCTCTTAGCGATTGTGTTAGGATAGAGAGAGGCCGAGAGATTCAGAGAGGGACATATTGACTGTAGGATGGCAGATTTCCTTCCCTACAGGGCAGATGGGGTTTCTAACAAGAATCAACCGTGGTTACATGATCACCGTTACGCATTCCAGAACCTTCTGCCATGGTGGAATTTGAACCCTCAAGTCCCGAATGTTAGCCTGGAGTTTCGAACACAGAACAGCACGGCACAGGAACAGGCCCTTCGGCCCACCATGCCTGTGCCAACCACGACACCGTTCTAAACTAATCCCATCTGCCTGCACATGCTCTGTATCCCTCTATTCCCTGCTTGTTCATGGAGCTGTCTAAATGTCTTTAAAAAATTCCTATTGTATCTGTTCCCACCAACTCCCCTGGCAGGGCTTTCCAGGCACTTACCACCCGCTGTGTAAAAAATTTGCCTCTTATATAGGTTCATAGAGTCGTACAGCATGGAAACAGACCCTTCTGTCTAACTAGTCCATGCCGACCATGTTCCCAAACTAAACTAGTCCCAGCTGCCTGCATTTGGCCCATATCCCTCCAAACCTTTCCTATTCATATCAGGGAGGTGATGGCCTAGTGGTTTTATCACGACTGTTCATCCAGAGACCCAGACAACATTCTGGGGACCTGGGTTTGAATCCCACCATGGCAGATGGTGGAATTTGAATTCAATAAAATATCTGGAATTAAGAATCTAATGATGACCGTGAATCCATTGCCGACTGTTGGGGGAAAAGCCCATCTGATTCACTAATGTCCTTTCGGGAAGGAAACTGTCATCCTTACCTGGTCTGGCCTACATGTGACTCCAGACCTACAGCAATATGGTTGGCTCTCTGGGCAATTAGGGATGGGTAATAAATGCTGCCAAGCCAGCGATGTCCTCATCCCGTGAATGAATAAAGAAAAAAGAATATACATATATGTTTTGCTGGAGCATAGGAGGTATAGGGATTTATAAAATCATGAGGGGCATAGATAAGGTGAATAGCAAAGGTCTTTTCCCTAGGATGGAGGAGATCAAAACTATTGTAAGTCAAAACTATTTTAAGGTGAGAGGAGAAAGATTTAAAAAGGACACAAGAGGCAACTTTTGTACAGAGAGAGTGGTTCATGTGTGAAATGAACTGCCAGAGGAAGTGATGGATGCAGGTACAGTTACACTTTAAACTTTCCCCTTCTCACTTTTAACCTATGCCCCCTCGTATGTGACATTTCCACCGCAGGAAAGAGACTGCAACTATCCACCCTATCCATGCCTCTCATAATTTTATACACTTTTATTTGGTTGTCCCTCAGCCTCCAACACTCTAGTGAAAACAATCCAAGTTTGTCCAACCTATGCTTACAGCTAACGCACTCCAATCCAGGCAACATTTTGGTCTTTTTCTCTTTATTCTTTCATGAGATGTTACATTTTTTTTTGTCCATCCCTAATTTCCCTTGAGCTGAGTGAATTTGCTCAGCCATTTCAGAGGGGCAGTTAAGAGTCGACCACATTGCTGTGGGTCTGGAGTCACATGTAGGCCAGACCAGGTAAGGATGGCAGAGATAGCAGGAACTGCATATGCTGGGGAATCTGAGATAACAAGGTGTGGAGCTGGATGAACACAGCAGGCCAAGCAGCATCAGAGGAGCAGGAAAGCTGACGTTTCGGGCCTAGACCCTTCTTCAGAAAAAAATTTTCTGATTTTCTGAAGAAGGGTCTAGGCCCGAAACATCAGCCTTCCTGCTCCTCTGATGCTGCTTGGCCTGCTGTGTTCATCCAGCTCTACACCTCGTTATCTCAGGTAAGGATGGCAGTTTCCTTCCCTCAAGGACTTTAGTGAACCTGAAGAATTTTTGCAATAATCGATGATAATTCCATTCTTGCCATTACTAAGACCAGCTCACAATTTGATTGAATTTAAATTCTAGCAGGTTGGGGGGTTAGACATCAGCTCTACACCACCATCTCTCCTAACAATGGGGGGAAAGGATGGGCTATGAAAATGCAAGATCAATGTCTTTTTCAGCACGCGAACAATGGAGCAACATTTGGATCAATACTTCAAGCCTACCTTTAGTCATAGAATCTCAGGCCAGAAACAGGGCCAAACCCTGGGGAGAAGGAGAATTACACCCGATATCAGCTTCCACCTTAAAACACTCTTCAAAATTAGATGATTACGTCCTAAACAACTGTCCATCTTCAAATTTTGAAAAGCAGGAGGTTTTTGTGTGGGGAAATATAAGGGCATCAATCCCTAAACAAGGACCCTAGGAATGTCAGTTCAATTCCAAAAGGCTGGTTAATTACAAATTTTCTTTTGTGGCCAGGCTGGCATTTATTGCCCATTCCTAATTGGCCAGAAGGTGGTTTAGAGTACTGTGGGTCTGGAGTCACGTGTAGTTTCCATCTCTAAAGGATATTAGTGAACCAGATGGGCTTTTCCAACAATTAGCAATCGATTCATGGTCATCATCAGACTCTTAATCCCAAACTTGTTATTGAATTCGAAATTCCTTGGAGTAATCGAGTCCAGTTCCCCGATACTTAGGCCTCTGGATTAATAGTCTATCAATAATGCCAGTAGGCCAACACCTCCCCAGTAAATTGCTTCAATTAAATAGAGATTTCATCGACTGACTTGCTCCACACTTCAGTCATTTGTCGGCTGACACAGTCATCATTATGCTGCACTGACCACCCCCCGCAACCCCAAAAACACCAACAGGCTGGCAAAAAGATTCTCGTTACCCAATGGGGTACAAGACTGTCAACCAAACAAAACCATTCTCCCCTCCCCCATTTTCAATATTTCTACATCTTGTGAAGAGCAATGATCAAAAGAACTGAGAAAAAGAGGCATAATGACCCATGTGTTTTTTTTTTAAACTCCAAGGTTGCACACAGCAGTATCCTGGAGATTGACCCTGATTCCTGGAGATAGGTGGCCAATCCTTGAGGCATTTAGGCCAAACCCTGAGGGAGGTAGGCCAATCCTAGAGATACGTAGGCCAATCCTTGCGGTAGGTGGCCAAACACTGAGGTAAGTAGGTCAATTCTCAAGATAGGCAGGCCATCCTCCAGGTATGTTGGCCAAGCATTGAGGTAGGGAGGCCCTCCTTGAGGTAGGTAGGTCAATCCTTGAGCTAGGTATGCCAATCCTGAAGGGTAGGCAGCCCTATTTCCACCATACTCGGGATTTTAGTGAAATTACAACAGAGGAAATTAAAACCCTGACCCCTTTTTTCACACGTCTCTCTCTCTGTTTGTTTCTCTCTCTCTTGCGCTGTCTCTCTCTCTTTCTCTTTCTCTCTCTCTCTCTGTCTCGATCCAGAAGTGAAGGCTCCAGGAGGGAAACCATTTTGTTCGCTCGGTCATCTGACCTGTAACCTTTGGTGCGCTCACAGACCACCATTCTGCCCTGAATGTCGGTTGGCATCTCAGATGTGAGGTGTTAAATGGAGCATCATTTGATCTGATTTTGTTTTAAATGCACTTCATGCTAATTTGAGTTCTGGCTGCCTGTCTCATACTGCCATCTAGAGACTCCCATCTCACACTGACTCGTGTTCATCACATCTAAATGAGGCAGGGTCACTGACTCTGACAGTGTAAAGTGGGGGGTCCCTCAACTCAGGGCGGGGGTCGGGGGGTCAGAAGTGGACGAGGGAGGATGGTGCATTGGGGAGATCCTAGAACTTCAAGGACACTAGGTCGACACAGTAGCCTCAGGCCCAGGCAGGCTCCAAAAAGAAGAGTTTCCAAATGCAAAACTAGGCCTTTACAAAAACAGAGAAGCTTTCTGACAGTGTGTACCCTTAACTCTGTCATTGCTACTCCAAGCACTGCGCTCTCGATGCTCCGTACCCATTCCCAAAGAGCCACAGAAAAGTACAGGAGGAATTACATCCCAGGAATCCAACACGATGGACAAATCAGAAAATTACAGGCCAGTCCCATGAAAATACGGGATGCTTGATCCCCCTGGAACCAGCACCCACTATAACCACTGCCAGAGAGGCAGACAGCTCTCTTCAGTCTTATGTACATTCATCTGGAGGCAGCTATTTCACACATGTAGTCTTCCTTTCTCTCTCCCTGTCTCTCCCTCCCTCTCTCTCTCTCCCCTTGTCTCACACCCCTGTCTCTTTCTCCATTCCATGTCCCTCCCTCTCTCTTTATCCCCGTCTCTTCTCTCTCTCTCCCCTCTTATCTCACACCCCTGTCTCTTTCTCCATTCAACGTTCCTCTCTCTCTATCCCCGTCTCTTCTCTCCCTCTCTCTCTCTCTCTGTCTCACACAGAGTTAATGTTTTGAGTCCAGTGACCCTTCTTCAGAACTGAAGTGGGCCTGAAACGTTAACACTGCTTCTCTCCCTGTAGATGCTGAGTTTCTCCTCTCTTGTGTTTCAGATTTCCAGCAGCTGCAGTATTCTGCCTCTGTGAGAATGTTTGTAGAGCCGGCCCATCGCCCATCATGCCGAGGCTGGCTCTCTGCTACAGCAACCGACCTCGTGCCACTCTTCCCTGCCGCCCTGCGCACTCTCCCTGTTCCACCGACAATCCATGTCTCTCACGGAGGCCGCTGGGGCAGGTCTCAGAAAACCTCGATCCTCTTACCGACACTTGATGCCAACAAGCTCAGCATGTGGGCGAGTGCACCCGCTTTCAGAACCACCCACCTACAATGGGCCCTTTGCGACAGGCACCGTTGCCGAGGAAGCTGGGCCTGCTCCCCAGCGCTCGCTCCCGCCCAACCACGGCCAGGAGCCAATTGGTGAGTGTAGTTCTTACCTCGGGGCATCGAAGCTGTCATAGGAGCCCACCGTGTAGTGCCGGAACAACCTCTTCGCTTTCTCGCTCCGACTCTCTGCTCGGAAGAAGAGAACCGCACGTTATAAGCGGGGACCGTGGGTCTCCAACCCATCCCCGCAGCTGGGGGTCACGAGACAAGCCCTAGAAAACTTGGGAGGAGCATGGGTTACCATGGAGCTTGGACAGAGCACCAACAGTTGCGAGGGCCCTTTAAAACCCGACACTTTTTTTTTCTCCCATCGCAGCCCACGGCCTGCTGGGTTTCGAGGCCTGAATGCTGCAGCCGAACAGGCTAACTCAAGGGGACAGGGATCTCCCTTTGAAGGAAAGATCGCAGCCTAAGCACTTACCACCCAACCTCGCTCGTCAATTCCCTGCCCAAAAGGACACGGACAGGCCTGGTTAGAGTGCAGGTGGAGAAGATGTTTCCACGAGTGGGAGAGACCAGGACCTGAGGGCACAGCCTCAGAGTGAAGGGGCGACCTTTCAGAACTGAGATGAGGGGGAGTTTCTTCCATCAGGGAGTGGCCAATCTGTGGGACTTATTGTTGTAGTAGGTTGTGGAGGCCAAGTTATTCAGTGTAATTGACTGAAAAGGATAGGTTCTTGATGAGTAAGGGGATCAAGGGAAGGCAGGGGAATGAGGTTGAGAAATATATCAGCCATGATCGAATGGCAGAGCAGACTCAATGGGCCGAATGGCCTAATTCTGCTCCTGTACCTTATGGTCTAATGGTAAGCAACGCTCATTTCTAATCTTACACCCTCATTCCCCTCAGGGGATTTGCTCTCTGGGGTCACATGATATCTGTGGCAGAAAGTCAGGAGTCGATCCCTGGAAAGGGTTTGGCCAGCTCCATATCAAGTGTGACCTTTGGGGATAAATTGCCCAGTGGTACCCAGTTCCAGCTGTGGAATAGGGGCATATAATCCTCGAAAGAGATTCCAGGGCTGGACTGTTCCAGTTGGGTTGCAATCCCAACACTGGACTCAATCCCAGATTGGGAATGTAGTTGTGGCCATGGGGGGAGCACCTTCCCAGGGGTGAAGCCATCTCCTGGTGACCATTTCCATTGAGGACAATGTGGTCATCAGAGCCAGACTAGCAGGAGACCTGGTCAAAGGCCAGCAGCCTCCTTCTGGGAGGGGTGGGTATTGCTGGGGCAGGTACAGGGGGGAGGGGAAGGGGTATCTCATCTCTGAGCCGATTCTGGGTATCCTGTGGAGAAACCTATAAAGTAAGGGGCCTGAAGAAAACAGGACCCTTGGGATGGAAGGGGAAAACTGTCAGCGGGAGAAGTGTACAGTGCAGAAAGAGGCCATTTGGCCCATTGAGTCTGCGTCAACCCTCTGAAGGGCATCCTACCCATACCCTCCCTATCCCTGTTACCCTGCATTTGCCATGGCTAATCCACCTCGCCTACACATCCCTGGGCACAGTGGATAATTTAGCATGGCCAATCCACCCTAATCTGCACATCTTTGGACTGTGGGAGGAAACTGGGGCACTCAGAGGAGACCCACCCAGACACGAAGAGAATGTGCTAACTCCATGCAAACAGCCACCCGAGGGTGGAATCAAACCCAGGTCCCTGGCGCTGTGAGGCGGCAGTGCTAACCACTGAGCTACCATGCCATCCTCCTTGGTCAAGGTTGCAGCCTTTGACCTCCTGCGGCCATGGACACAGGACACGGAGACTTCAGCCCCGTCAGACACTCAAGGTCAATGCGTGGGGGCCCCAAAGAAGGAGAAATATCCTTGTAAAAGGAACGCAGTGTGAGGCCTGAATTGGCTCACAGTCCCTTTGGAGGTGACGACTAATCCTGGTACCACAGGGAAAGGTCTCCAGAGCTCGGACTATAAACACATACCGCACATTCCCGCCACCCACCGCGCCCCCCACCCCGCACCCGCCATTTTGTCTGCCTCCATTTCAGCTCCAAACCTCTCTCCATCAGACAGAGAGATTTCAACACCCAACCTCCCAGTCTCTGTCAATTCTTAACAAGGCCACTGGATGGCACCCTGCTTCAAGGAAAGACATATAAACAAAATATGACAGGTCACAGGTCACAGAAAGAAGCCTGGCTGACACTGGGAAATCAAATGGTTTTTGTGCAATTCTCCCTTCCAACGTTCACCAGATCTTTCTCCTATCTCTCTTCTTTATTTCGTTATTGCCCACTGGGTCTTCTGGTTTGCCTTCTCATGTTGGAGAAGGCAAGCGACTGCAATGGAGACCTAACTATCCCAGCATTCACTGCTGCAGTGAAAGTCCTCTGTTAAACATTCTGCAGCTTAAGCAGGGAATCTCCAAAGTTCTGATGACAATCGGGTTAGCCCCAGCTCCACATTCTCCCATACTGGGACAGGTTAAATTATTGGAAAGATTCTCAGAGACCCCAGCCCCAGCTTCATCTCTACCCTGTCTCTAAGACTGAACTGTGTGTAGTTGGAGTGTGATACCTTAGGAAGGGTGTCCTATTCTTGGAGAGAATAAGGTGTAGATCTGCCAGAATGTTATAACACTTCAGGTGCTCAGCCAAGTACTTTCTAAAGTTTGTGAGGTTTCCCACCTCAACTACCCTCCCAGGCAGCACATTCCAGACTCCATCAGCCTCTTGGTGAAAAAAGTTTTCCTCAAATCGCTCCTAAACCTCCTGGCCTTCTCTTGTCCAAGGGAAATAACTGCTTCCTATCCACCTGGTCCATGTCCCTCATTATCTAACAGACCTCCATCAGGTCCCCACCCTCTTGGCCTTCTCTGCTCTAAAAAAAACGATCCAAGCTTAGCCAGCCTCTCTTCATCGCTGACTATGGGTCCAAGGTTTAAATTACAAGAAGGGGAAGTGGGGGGGAGCAGACGGGAACCTGGGCTACATTCTCTTCATTCTAGAAGTTAAGGTGTGAATCGATTGAGGTTTTGGGGAACGGACAGGGTTAGCAGGGAGACATTATTTCCATGGGTCAAGGACAAAGGGCACAGTTTAAAAATGACCCCTTTCAGGATCAAAATGGGGAAATGCCTACCTCTGCTGTGTTGGGGTTTGGATCTCTCTGTCCTAAATAGCAATAATTCGATTGTTAATTTAGAAGTTTTGTTTTCCATTCACAGGACAGGGTGTCACTGACTAGGACAGCATTTATTGCCTAATTGCCCAGTGGGTAATTAAGAGACAACCACATTGCGGTGAGTCTGGAGTCACATGTACGCCAGACCAGGTTAGAGTCGAAGTTTCCCTCCCGAAAAGACATTAATGGACCAGATGGGTTTTTTCCCAACAATCAACAATGGATTCACAGTCATCGTTCGACTCTTAATTCCAGGCCCTTTTTTTATTGAATTCAAATTCCACCATCTGCCGTGGCGAGATTCGAACCCAGGTCCTCAGATCATTACATGGGTCTCTGGATTTACAGCCATTGCCTGCCCCACTTTGGTGAGCCAAAGGTATTTAGCGATATGAGGCTCGGGTGGGTATGAGGCATTTGCTCGCAGATAAATCAAATTACAGCATAACAGGAGTGAGGGGGATGAAAGGCCTCCTCCTGTTCCTTTGCAATGAGTTTGATGGGTGGAGTGGCCTCCTCCTGGTCCTGTGCAACAGGCTCAATGGGCAGAATGGCCTCCTCCTGGTCCTGTGCAACAGGATCGATGGGCAGAATGGCCTCCTTCTGGTCCTGTGCAACAGGATCGATGGGCAGAATGGCCTCCTCTTGCACCTGTGCAACAGGCTCCATGGGCAGAATGGCCCCCTCCTGGTCCTGTGCAACAGGCTTCATGGGCAGAATGGCCTCCTCCTGCTCCTGTGCAACAGGCTCGATGGGCAGAATGGCCTCCTCCTGGTCCTGTGCAATAGGCTCGATAGGGCTGAATGGTCTTCTCTGACTCCAACTATATGTCCATTCTACCTCAGACCAAAAGGAGGCCATTCAGTCCATCAAATCCCAGTGAACAACATAACTTCCTCAGCTGTAATGATCCTATGGTCAGCAGTGAAGAGAGGCTGGATAAGCTTGGATCGTTTTCTTTAGAGCAGAGAAGGCTGAGAGGGTGGGGACCTGATGGGGGTCTGTTAGATTATGAGGGGCATGGACCAGGTGGATAGGAAGCAGTTATTTCCCTTGGGCAAGAGAAGGCTAGGAGGTTTAGGAGCAATTTGAGGAAAACTTTTTTCACCAAGAGGCTGATGGAGTCTGGAATGCGCTGCCTGGGAGGGTAGTTGAGGTGGGAAACTTGGCTGAGCACCTTGAGTGTTATAACATGTAAGGCTATGAGCCAAGTGCAGCAAAGTGTGGCTAGTATAGGCAGCAGTGTATTTTTTGTTGGTACAGACTCAATGGACTGAATGGCATCTTCTGCCCTGTATGATTCTATGATTCCTCAGCTTCGGGTTTTTATTTGTAATGTTTCCAGGATGATTCCAGCTGTGCTACGCATTTCCAATCACGCAGGTCAGTTGTGAGAGAGCTTTACTCTGGATCTAACCCCATGCTGCCCCTGTCCTGTGAGCGTTTAATGCGGATGGTGTTGAGGGAGCTTTACTCTGTATTTAAACCCATGCTGTCCCTGTCCTGGGACTGTGTGATGGGGAACAGTGTAAAGGGAGCTTTACTTTGTATCTAACTCTGTGTGGTCCCTGTCCTGGGAGTGTTTGATGTGGGGACAGCATAGAGGAAGGTTTACTCTGTATCTAACCCCATGCTGTCCCTGTCCCTGGGAGTGTTTGATGGGGGACAGTGTACCGGGAGCTTTACTCTGTACCTAACCCCGTGCTGCCCCTGTCCTGGGAGTGTTTTTGATGGGGGACAGTGTAGAGGGAGCTTTACTCTGTACCTAACCCCATGCTGCCCCTGTCCTGGGAGTGTTTGATAGTGACCAAATGAACAAAATCTATGGAAGCAGTATTAACACTGTCAGACCAACAAGTTGAAGAAGCATGCAATCACATTGAAATGGAATGGACTATTTGGCTGTTTCCTGGTGGTCTTACCGTGTTTGCTGTCCTGAGGTTTGTTCGGGATCTCCTCCACATTCTCGGCAGGGAACCAGCCCGTCCGACCTTTGACAGTGCCCTCCCAGAATCCTCCTTCCCCTACACTGAGCACTGCGAAAGGTCAAAGGTACAAAGGTCAGATAGAAAATGCAAAACCTAACACTGCAGAACCTAACCAAAGATCCTCAGACAGCACCTTCCAAACCCATGACTACTTCCATCCAAAAGGACAAGGGCAGCACGTACATGGGAACACACCACCTCCAAGTTCCCCTTCAAGCCACTCACCATCCTGACTTGGAAATACATTGCTGTTCCTTCACTGTCGCTGGGTCAAAATCCAGTAGGGGTATGTCTACACCCCATGGACTGGACAGGTTCTTGGAGGTGACTCACTACCACCTTAACAAGGGCAATTAGGGATGGGTAATCATAGATCACAGAATCCCTACAGTGTGGAAACAGGCCATTCGACCCAACAAGTCCACACTGCCCCTCTGAAGAGCATCCCACCCAGACCCATTCCATTACCCCTGCATTTCCCATGTCTAATCCACCTTACCTAAACATCCCTGGACACTATGGGCAATTTAGCATGGCCAATCCACCTAAACTAAACATCTTCGGATTATGGGAGGAAACCGGAGCACCCGGAGGAAACCCACGCAGACACGGGGAGAATGTGCAAACTCCACACACAGTCGCCTGAGGCTGGAATTGAACCCGGGGCCCTGGTGCTGTGAAGCAGCTGTGCTAATCACTGAACCACTGTGTCGCTCACCCACTGAGCCACCGTGCCGCTCACCCACTGAGCCACCATGTTGCTGGCCCAGCCAGCATCACCCACAAAATTGAAAAAAAAAACGGACGAACTGCAGATGCTGGAAATCAGAAACTCAAACAGAAATGGCTGGAAAAGCTCAGCAGATCTGGTAGCATGTATGGCGAGAAATCAGAGTTAACGTTTCGGGTCCAGTGACTCTTCCTTCAGCATCACCCACACCCCACTATTCTAAAATTCTCTTGCGATATACTAAAATGATTTTCTGTTCAAAGAAAGAATATCGCTGGATGTCCAGAAGCTGTTTAGTTATTTTCACAAGGCTAAATCACTATAGTAGCGATCACTTAATAGAGAGAGAGACACACACAATTGGTGGTGAGTTTAACCAGAGGGTCAGCACACCCCAAGCAAGGGGACAGGTTGAACCTTGATCGTGATCTGAGCTGGGGCAGGAATTGAACCTGTGCTGTTGGTGTTACTCTCTGCATGAGAGACCTGTTGTCCAGCTAACTGGAAATGGTAAGGCAACCATCTCTATGTAAGTCAATGCACCATGTGTAGACTTTTTGCTTGCCACTCCGTAGGATCAAGCCCGGCTCCAGATAGCTCAGGTAAACCACAGCTGCAAATAGAGAGGGTACTGCGAGACGGATGAGAAAGAGAGATCCCGCTCACCATCCCAGCTGGGTAAGCAATCCCCTGGTTACCGTGTTTGCCTCCCTGCCCCTCAGCCCGAACGTTACCCTGATGTGCCAAGCAATAGGCAAAGCGTCATAGAGTCCACCCCCAGCCCATCATGGTTGCACCAAAAACAATATGTGCTGGAAACAAGATCAAAGAACCCAATAAAGTACAGGAGGAGGCCAGGGAGTGGCCAATCTGTGGGACTTATTGTTGTATAAGGTTGTGGAGGCCAAGTTATTGAGGTAATTGACTGAAAAAGATAGGTTCTTGATGAGTAAGGGGATCAAGGAAAGGCAGGGGAATGGGGTTGAGAAACATATCAGCCATGATCGAATGGCAGAGCAAACTCAATGGGCCGAATGGCCTAATTCTGCTCCTGTACTTATGGTCTAATGGTAAGCAACGCTCATTTCTAATCTTACACCCTCATTCCCCTCAGGGGATTTGCTCTCTGGGGTCACATGATATCTGGGGCAGAAAGTCAGGAGTCACTCCCAGGAAAGGGTTTGGCCAGCTCCATATCAAGTGTGACTTTTGGGGATAAATCGCCCAGTGGCACCCAATTCCAGCTGCGGAATAAGGGAATCATTGTGTACAATCCTCGAAAGAGTCATTTAACATTTCCAGGGCTGGACTGTTCCTTTATTCATTCACGGGATGTGGGCATCGCTGGCTAGGCAGCATTTATTGCCCATCCCTAGTTACCCAGAGGGCAGTTAAGAGCCACCCACATTGCTGTGGGTCTGGAGTCACATGTAGGCCAGACCAGGTAAGGATGGCAGTTTCCATCCCCTAAAGGACATTAGTGAATCAGATGGGTTTTTCCAACAATCGGCAATGGGTTCATGGTCACCATTAGATTCTTAATTCCAGATATTTTATTGAATTCAAATTCTGTCATCTGCTGTTGCGGGATTTGAACCCAGGTCCCCAGAACATTATCTGGGTCTCTGGATTAACAGTCCAGCGATAATACCACTAGACTATTCCCTCCTCAGTTGGGTTGTCATCCCAACACTGGGCTCAATCCCAGATCGGGAATGTAGTTGTGGCCATGGGGGGAGCACCTTCCCAGGGGTGAAGCCATCTCCTGGTGACCATTTCCGTTGAGGACAATGTGGTCGTCAGAGCCAGACTAGCAGGAGACCTGGTCAAAGGGGGTTACCACAGGCCAGCAGCCTCCTTCTGGGAGGGGTGGGTATTGCTGGGGCAGGTATGGGGTGGGGGGAAGGGCTATCTCATCTCTGAGCCGATCCTGTGGAGAAACCTACAAAGTGAGGGGCCTGAAGAAGACCGGACCCTTGGGATGGAAGGGGGAAGCTGTCAGCGGGAGAAGTGTACAGTGCAGAAAGAGGCCATTTGGCCCATTGAGTCTGCGTCAACCCTCTGAAGGGCATCGTACCCATACCCTCCCCATCCCTGTTACCCTGCATTTCCCATGGCTAATCCACCTCGCCTACATATCCCTGGGCACTGTGGGTAATTTAGCATGGCCAATCCACCCCAATCTGCACATCTTTGGACTGTGGGAGGATTGCTCTTTGTTGCTAGTGACAGTCCCCTGTAAAAGACCAATTTGATTGGTTCCTCTCCCTTGCTGTTTGCCCCATAGCCCCGCCACGTTTGCCCTTGGATGAGGGACAGGGCAATTCAATGTAACTTTAGCTGTACATAGAGCGTACCGAGAGGTACATGAGGTGACTACAAACCCTTATTTCAAAGCTCAACATGAATCTGACTCCATGCTCCTGTCTGGTTGCCCTGCAACAGCAGTGAATAACCTGTTTGTTCACCACATCATCCCTGCTGTTCGCATTATATACACGGCTGCCTACAGGCAGGAGCCCCTCTTAAAAAAAAAACTGGTTACGCAAATCTCCAGCCAGTTTAGACAGTCCTTTTCTTTTGTCAAGTCTATTTTGGTCTGTTTTCCTTTCAACCCTCCCCAGAAAACATTCTCTGAAGAGCACAGATGACGTCTGTGCAGAGCATGGACCCCACACCAGGCAGCATGTTGATTCGGAGAACACACCAGAGCTGCTGTGGAGTTAGTCTTGTGTCACGGCTCACTCTGCACCTTCATTCGGTCCAGGCTGGAGGTGAGGTGGCCTTTCAACTCCCTTTCTCTTTGGCATTGAGTACCACGCTATTTGAAAGTGCCAGCTCCTGCTGGCTCAGAAGCCGCACAGAACAAGGCACTGTGGGTGCCGTAACCCTTTTCCCTGAAGTCAACCAGATTCTCCGATTTAACAGCCAGCAAAGGGTGAACGCAGATGGAAACCCTAAACCTATTGCTCAGGTGAAACGTCGCCTGGGCTCCACTCTCTCTGACGGTCTCCACTATCACCACTGTCTTCTTGTCTCCCCATGGCCTGCCCTGAGCGACACATTCATTCCCACTGAGTCAATATCCTTTCTTGCACGTTAGCAAAAAAACGCTGGGTGTCACAGCTGATCAGACAGCACACGTGCAGAGAGACTGCAAGCTAACGTTTCAAGTCTGACATGACTCCCGTCTCATTGCCTCTCAGTCGCCTTGTCCCTTGAGTACTGGGATTCCCTCAAGCTGAGCGCTCTGTCCCTCTCAACAATAAGGAGCTGGCCCCCTCGGCCTCACAGCCCAGGGTCAGAGTCCCGAGACTGCACCCTCTTGCTATTCTCTGAATTTCCTCATCAAATCAAGCGGGCCATGAGGATGGTGAGTGAGAAGGGGAGAGAGAGAGGGAGAAAAAGGAGGTAAAAGAAAGTCAGAGACACACAGAGAAAGAGAGAGACAGGGAAGGAACAGGACAAGATGTAATTATTGTCATGAGGTCAGCCAGCTGGACCTCACAGAATATGAATTCCATAGCTGGGGCTGTTAATCTGGTCTAATCAGGGAGCCTTGGCTGACACAAAAGTTGAAAGTCAGGGATATTGAGCCCCTGACTCGGTGAGAGGCAGTGCTATTGTGAAAGGCCATGCAGTTATAAGTAAAGGGTGATTAGTGATAGGATGCTGGCCTCTGGGGAGTTATTTCATGAGGAAATGAGACAGAGAGAGAAAAACGGCTTTCACTAGCGTAACATCTCCGATAGCCTGAGTATACCCAAATCTTTACAGCCAATGAAACATGTTGAAAGTGTAATTGTGCTGTGAATGTAGGTAACACAGCCACCTGCTTTGCACACAGCATGTTCCCACAGCCAGCAATCAGATAATGGCCACAATAATCCTTCGTGAAGATGCTGGTTTGAGGGAGAACACTCCTTTTTATTGAAGTGAGGGCTGAGGGAATTGAACACATCCACCTGAGATGACAGGCAGGGTATGACTGAGCTCATCTCGAGGACAGCACCTCCAACAGTGCAGCAGTCCCTCAGCAGTGCACCATGATAGCCAGGTTGGATATGTACACTACGGCCTTGAGTGGGCAAGTTGAACACACCAGCTTCTAACTCAAAAGCTGAGAGTTCTAGTCACTGAGTCAGAGTCATGTACAGCCTGTCCCACCATCTACAAGGCACAGGTCGGGAGTGTGAAGGAACACTCCCCACTGGCCTGGATGGGTGCAGTTCCAATAACACTCAAGAAGCTTGACACCATCCAGGACAAAGCAGCCCACTTGATTGGCACCACATCCACAAATATCCACTCTCTCCAC